AGTGCCAAATACATCAAAAAGTGATGATCATATTTTCCTATTTTATGTGTTATATTATTAAATGGCTCATTTAAAAAATGAAAATACATAAGTGTTTTATGATTTATTGATATCCTTAAAGTCATAGCAGGTGTAGATACTTTATATATTTTTAAAACTTGACAGGATACTTACTCTTTGCCTGCCTCTGAATAAAATATGTACTATTTTGTGATGTAAATACATAATACTAGACAGCTAATTTGAATTTAAAAACAATGTGTTCAAGTTTGAACAGCTTTTTTAATGAAATAATTTTATTATACATGATTCCAGATTTCAGGAATAGTCACTTACATTATTTTGCTTTATTAGTTTTAGATCTTGCTGTATTTTTTCAAAAGACATGAAATGATTATTGATACAGAGAAAACCCTACCCACATCCCTCCCTTTTCTTCTTCTCTGATGACCGCTACTGAATTTCGTGTGGGTCTTTCCCTAGTACCCATTCCAAAGCAGTGATACAGGAGTTAAGAAGAAATTACTTAGGCAGATAATGAGGTTACGGGAATCCTCCCTAAGGGTTTCCTGTCAATGAAAGCAGCCCCAAATCATTTTCTTTTCTAACAGAGAACAGGCTGTAAAACCGAGCTGCAGACATAGACAAACAAGCCAGAAGCTTGTACAGGCGAATGCCCGCAGTTGTGCCAATAGGAAAAGGCTACGTGGGAATAGACATGTTCAAAATGGTGGCTCCATCTTCTCTTTTCTGCCAGCCACGTGTACAGCAAGGCGCAGGCAAAATGGTGCTGGCCAAGCAGAAAGTCCATTTGCCTAATAAGATTAGGGTGGGGCGGCTGGGCTCAGTGGCTCATGCCTGTAATCCCAGCACTTTGGGACGCCGAGGTGGGCGGATCTCCTGAGGTCAGGAGTTTGAGACCAGCCTGGCCAACATGGTGAAACCCAGTTTTTACCAAAAATACAAAAATTAGCCTGGCGTGGTGGCATGCCCCTGTAATCCCAGCTACTTGGGAGGCTGAGGCAGGAGAGTTGCTTGAACTGGGGAGGAGAAGGTTGCAGTGAGCTTAGATCATGCCATTGCGCTCCAGCCATGAACAACAAGAGTTTCACTCCGTCTCAAAAAAAGGATTAGGGTGGGACAACCAGCCTTCCCTGCCTACCGTGTAAAAGTCACACTTGATCGAACCAATCTGTGGGCCCTCCATATATTAGCCACCGCCTCCTCAAGCCTGCCTGTAAAATCTGGCATAGTCCACCACAGGCTGGCTTTTCCCTTTGGGACACCTCTCTCTCTTCCTTTTTATTTGGTTGGCCTATGAAACCTTTACTCCTAAACTTGCTACTGGTTTGTGTCTGTGTCTTTAATCTTGGTGCTAGGCAACAAACCCTGGGTATTGATCCCAGACAAGGACGCTGCTTCAGCAATGTTGTGCATTGTTAAGCCTAGCCCTAGCCTCTACTAGCTTCTTACACGTGGTCTCCCTGTTGCTTGATTTTTCATGCTGACATTGCACTTTACCAGCTTGGGCATGCACTATTTTTATTATCTTGGCACTAAATATTTTCTTCATGTTTATTATGATGTTTTCCAACCCAAGCTTTTGATGGATGCTTTTAGATTTCCACGAGTTAATTTTTGGTCATCCTTTTTGTTATTGGTTTCTAATTTTACAGCATTGTGTTCAGAGCATGAACTCTCCATATATAGTATGGATTTTCTTGGTGTCTTTGAGATTTTTTATCTATCGAGAAGCTGGACTCTATGGTTTGTTTTTAATATTACATAGGTGTGTGAGAAAAATGTGGTTTTGCTGACGATTTGGTACGTTTGCCCGGATATTCATTGACTCACCCTTGTTAATTGTGTTTAAATTGTTCAGGTCTTCCTATTTTCTTATTGCTTGATTTTTTTAATTACTGAGAGATGTGTTAAAATCTATAATTATGGTTGTAATCTTGTCAGTTTCTTCTTTTTTTTTGAGATGGAGTCTTGCTCTGTCACCAGGCTGGAGTACAGTGGCATGGTCTTGGCTCACTGCAACCTCCGCCTCCTGGGTTCAAGCGATTCTCCTGCCTCAGCCTCCTGAGTAGCTGGGATTACAGGCGCACACCACCACACCCGGCTAATTTTTGTACTTTTAGTAGAGACAGACAGAGTTTCACCACATTGGCCAGGATGGTCTCCATCTCTTGACCTCGTGATCTGCCCACCTTGGCCTCCCAAAGTGTTGAGATTACACCATGCCACCATGCCCAGCTAGTTTCTTCTTGTGATTCTGTTGACTTTTGCTTTGTGTATTTGAAGGGCATGTTATTAGGGATATTTAAGTTCATCCTTCTTATATTTTCATGTGCAGTTATTTCTTTTATCATTTTCTTGGAGAAACTTTCTAATGAGGCTTTCTTTACCTTTTATCTGTTTTTGTTGTTGTTGTTGTTTGTTTTTTTTCTAGTGCTTATATCATCTTGCCTCCTTAGAGTTCTCATGTGCTGGTTGAGCCCCACCTTTCACTTTCAACTTTTTTTAAAATTAGGTTTTCAGAATTTTTCTTAAAATGCAGCCTAAGTTCCTTATAGATGCTGGATATTAGATCTTTATTAGATGCATAGTTTGCACATATTTTCTCCCATTCTGTAGGTTGTATGTTTACTCTGTTGATACTTTATTTTGCTGTGCAGAAGCTCTAAAGTTTATATAGATCCCACTTGTCAATTTTTGCTTTTGTTGCAATTGCTTTTCGTGTCTTTGTCATGAAATCTTTGCCAGTTGCTGTGTCTAGAATGGTATTGCCTAGGTTGTCTTCCAGGGTTTTTATAGTTTTGGGTTTTACATTTAAGTCTGTAATCCATCTTGAGTTGATTTTTGTATATGGTGTGAGGAAGGGGTCCAGTTTCAACCTTCTGCACGTATAGCCAGTTATCCCAGCACCATTTATTGAACAGGGAGCCCTTTCCCCATTGCTTGTTTTTGTCGGCTTTGTTGAATATCAGATGGTCATAGGTATGTGGCTTTATCATCAATACTGTGCTATTTTGAGCTAAATGATGAGAACTCATGAACACAAAGAAGGGAACAACAGACACTGGGGTCTACTTGAGGGTGGAGGATGGGAGGAGGGAGAGGAGCAGAAAACATAGCTGTTGGTACCAGGCTAAGTATCTGGGTGATGACATAATCTGTACAACAAACCCCTGTGCCACAACTTTACCTAATAACAAACTTGCACATGTACCCCTGAACCTGAAATAAAAGTGAAATAATAACAATAATGATAATAATGAAATCCAGCCTAATATTATCTCTCTTTTCCTTGTTGAGTTTAGTCTGTTTGCAATTATGATTATTCATATATTTGGTATCATTTTGTGCTTCCTCTTCCACATTTTTTATTTCTTTGCTTTCTACTAATCCTGAATTTTCTTTGGTTCTTTATTTCTTCTTCCTCACCCTCTATTGGATTGAACACATTTTTTAAAAGTTTACCTTTTCTCTTGAAAGGTTTGGTCATTACATATTGTTTCTATTCTGTTCACGCCATTCTCTTGCCTCAGCCTCCCAAGTCGCTGGGACTACAGGCACCTGCCACCATGCCCGGCTAATTTTTTTTGTATTTTCAGTAGAGACGGGGTTTCACTGTGTTAGCCAGGATGGTCTCGATCTCCTGACCTCGTGATCAGCCCGCCTCGGCCTCCCAATGAGCCACAGAGCCTGGCCCAGTTTTTTACTCTTTAGCCTATGTATATTAGCAACTGCTGTCAGGTGTTGTCAGTGCCATTATCTTCTCTGTCTTTTTGTTAAACTAAGCCTACATTTTCTTCTTTTTATGCTGAAAGTACCACATGTAACACCAGCATTCAGTAGATGATCTGTAAATATCTGTTGAATGCCTCCTCAATTATTAGTGTGAATTATTATTTTAAAATACGTATTACAGCTTTGTTTTTCTTTTCTTTTTTTTTTTTTTTTTTCTTGAGATGGAGTCTCACTCTCTCTCCCAGGCTGGAGTGCAGTGATGCAATCTTGGCTCACTGTAACTTTCACCTCCCAAGTTGATTTCCCCGCCTCAGTCTCCCAAGTAGCTGGGATTACAGGCACACACCACCATGCCTGGCTAAATTTTTGTATTTTTATAGAGACAGATTTCACCATGTTGGCCAGGCTAGTCTCAAATTTTCCTGACCTCAGATGATCTGCCTGCCTTGGCCTCCCAAAGTGCTGGGATTACAGGTGTGAGCCACTGCACCTGGCCTTGAATTATTATTAGTTTGTTATTACTGAACTTAGTAAGCCTTTATTTTCTGTTTGCAAATGAAGGATGACTTGTAGGCACATCTATCCTTCATGAAATTTGTCTTAATATTTTTAATATTCTTGACCTAGAAGGAGGATGGAAATCATTGTTTATCACAATGTGTTTAGGTGATGTTTTGTGCCAAATGGTTCTGTAGATGGAGTTGAGTTCAGTTCCACTTAGTGAGAATTGCTTCTGATAGCACAGGGAAAGAGGAGCGAGTCAGAGTCAGGGCCGGGACTCGAGTCCCTGTGGGAGCTCACCCACATCGTCATCACAGGAGCCTGCTCAGTGTAGTTTAGCGGTTGATAATTGGCAGATAAAGAACTCGCCTTAACTTTAAGTGCTTTGTTGAGGGGCATCTTTCAGATGATTTATTGAATATGGCTTATGGTCTATACTCTGAACATGAATTTTGGTGTGTTACTATCTTGGTCTTTTGATCTTTGACCATTTTGTACTTCTGTAACTCTCAGTGGCATTACACATAAAGAGAACACACATCAATAATTCTCTAGGTCAAAATATACCCTCATTAACTACTTTATTTAGAAGTTTTTGGAGTCCAATTCTGAAATTGTTACAAATAAGAAAAAAACTGTGTTAATATCTTACTTGAGAATCAGCTATTATGAGATATCATTAGCATAACGCTTATTAACTCAACCTTTGAAAGTACATCTTGATTTTCCCCTTACAATTATAGGGTTCATCATTTACAACCCAACAGCCTCAGGCTTATAACCTCTTCCTGACCACGGCCATTGGCGATGGGATGAGACTGTGGGACCTGAGAACCCTGAGGTAAGGCTCTCCTGCGCCCTGCACTGCTGGGGTGGGGAGCTCAAGAGATGTAAGCTCAATCTGATTTCTTTTCCAAATGTGATGAGGTTGTGGTTAATCTGTGTACACTGATTATTCTAAGATTGATTTATGCACAGAAAAGGTAGCTCTGACTTTGGAAGGGTGAAGCACTAGGTGCTGGTCTCTCTGCTATATGTGGCTTAGGAGAGTAATCCCAGGCCCTTCCTGTGGGTCAGCGATGTTGAGGGAGACATTGGAATCTCCTAAACCACAGTTACCATATGGTGTGATTACTGCTCTCTCTCCCAAGTGTGTTCCCATCTCCTTTGGGTGCCACCCATGAGGCGTCGAGCACCCCCATAACGCAGGGCCAGCGGTGCCTGCCTCTCCTTTTCCTACCTCCTCAGGTCACAGGTGGGAGGGCATTTCCTTAGATATACTATCGTTAAGTAAATTACTTCTCATTTCACGTCATGTATGTTTTAGATGCTTTGGTAGACTTTGAAAATGCATTTTATGAAAGTTAGAAAGCACCTTCGTTTTATCAGCAAAATATTTACAAAATTTTTTGGATAGGAATTCTTGATATAACTATATTTGTTGTTTATTTTTGAATGCAGTAGTAAAACTTATAGGCAGGTTTGTTGACTATTATTATTTCAAATTCGTGATGAGAATTTGTATGAGCAATCGTGTTGCATGTGAGGACGTCTTAACCAATGACTGACTGTATCACATTGCTGGTGGCATAAGATTATGATGGAGCTGAAAAATTCTTTTTGTTTAGTATTTGCTTTATTACTTTTTGTCATGATTTTAGAGTGCATTCCTTCTACTTGTAAAAAAAAATTTAACTATAAAGCAGTCTCAGGCAGGTCCTGCAGGAGGTGTCCTGAAGAAGACATTGCTTTTTTTTTTTTTAATTTTAGACAGAGTCTCACTCCTGTCACCCAGGCTGGAGTGCAGTGTTACATGATCTCAGCTCACTGCAACCTCCCCGCCCCAGCACCCCACCCCCGAGCTCAAGGGATTGTCTTGCCGAAGCCTCCTAAGCTGCTGGGTTTACACGCCGAAACGCCACCATGCCCAGCTAATTTTTTGTTTGTTTGATTTTTTTGAGATGGAGTCTTGCTCTGTCACCCAGGTTGGAGTGCAGAGATGGAGTCTTGCTCTGTCACCCAGGTTGGAGTGCAGTGGCATAATCTCAGCTCACTGCAACCTCTGCCTCCCGGGTTCAAGCCATTCTCGTGCCTCAGCCTCCCAAGTAGCTGGGACCATAGGCATGCACCATCATACCCAGCTAATTTTTGTATTTTTAGTAGAGATGGGTTTTCACCATGTTGGCTAGGTTGGTCTTGAACTCCTGACCTCAAGTGATCCACCCGCCTCCCAAATTGCTGGGATTACAGGTGTGAGCCACTGCACCCGGCCAAAACATTGTTATCACAGGGAGATGACAGCTCCATGCATGTCACTGCCCCTGGAGACCTTCCAGTGGGACAAGATGTGGAGGGGAAGACAGTGATGTTGATGATCCCAACTCCATGCAGGCCTAGGCTAATGTGTGTGTTTATGTCTTAGTTTTTAACAAAAACGTTTAAAAAGTAAAAAAAGTTCAAAATAGAAAAAAGCATGTAGAATAAGAATATAAAGAAATAAAATATTTTTGTACAGCTGTACAATGCATATGTGTTTTAAGCTAAGTGATATTAGCTTTGGGAGGCAGAGGTAGGCGGATCACCTGAGGTCAGGAGTTCGAGACCAGCCTGGGCAACATGGTGAAACCCCTCTCTACTAAAAATACAATAATTATCCAGGTGTGGTGGTGTGCACCTGTAATCCCATCTACCCAGGAGGATGAGTCAGTAGAATCACTTGAACCTGGGAGGCAGAGGTTGCAGTGAGCCAAAATTGCACCACTGCACTCCAGCCTGGCTGACAGAGTGAGACTCTGTCTCAAAAAAAAAAAAAAAAAAAAAAACAGTTTATAAAGTAAAAAAGTTACAGTAAACTAATGTTAATTTGTTACTGAGGAAATAAAAATATTTTAAAATAAATTTGGTGTAGCCTAAGTGTCCAGTGTTTATAACGTCTATAGCAGTTATGGTCATGCCCTTGACCTTCATATTCACTCACCTCTTGCTCAGTGACATGCTCGGAGCAACTTCCAGTCCTGCAAGCTCCATTCATGGCAAGGACCCTATACAGGTGCACCCTTTCTAATCTTTTATGTTATTTAAATTTTTTTTTTAATCTCAATAGCTTTTGGGGTACAAGTGGCTTTTGGTTACATGAATGAATTGTATAGTAGTGAAGTCTAAGGTTTTAGTGCACCTGCCACCTGAGTCTATACATTGTACCTAATATGTCGTTTTTTTATTCCTCACCCACCTCCCACCCTCCCCCTTGTGAGTCTCCAAAGTCAATCATACCACTCTGTATGCCTTTGTGTACTCACGCTTAGCTCTCACGTATAAGTAAGAACATAAGGTATTAGGTTTTTCATTTCTGAGTTACTTCACTTAAAATAATGACCTCCAGCTCCACCCAAGCTGCTGTAAAAGACATTCTTTTGTTCTTTTTTATGGCTGAGTAGTAGTATTTCATGGTGTCTATATACCACTTTTTCTTTTTTCACTCATTGGTTGATATGGTTTGGCTGTGTCCCCACCCAGATCTCATCTAGAATTGTGCTCCCGTAATTCCCACGTGTTGTGGGAGGGACCCAGTGGGAGATAATTAAATCATGGGGGCGGTTTCCCCCATACTGTTCTGGTGGTAGTGAATAAGTCTCATGAGATCTGATGGTTTTGTCAGGGGTTTCTGCTTTTGTGTCTTCCTCATTCTCTCTTTGCCTGCTGCCATCCATGTAAGACGGGATTTGCCCCTCCTTGCCTTCCACCATGATTGTGAGGCTTCCCCAGCCACATGGAACTGTAGTCCAATTAAACCTCTTTCTTTTGTAAATTGCCCAGTCTCGGGTATGTCTTTATCAGCAGCACAAAAACAGACTAATACAGTAAATCGGTACCAGTAGAGTGTGGTACTGCTGAGAAGATACCCAAAAATGTGGAAGCGACTTTGGAACTGGGTAACAGGCAGAAGCTGGAACAGTTTGGAGGGCTCAGAGGACAGGGAAATGTGGGAAAGTTTGGAATTTCTTAGAGACTTGTTGAATGGCTTTGCCCAAAATGCTGATAGCGATATGGACAATAAGGTCCAGGCTGAGGTGGACTCAGATAGAGATGAGGGACTTGTTAGGAAGTGGAGCAAAGATGACTTTTGTTATGTTTTAGGAAAGAGACTGATGGCATTTTGCCCCTGCCCTAGAGATTTGTGGAACTTTGAACTTGAGAGAGATGTTTTAGGTTATCTAGTGGAAGAAATTTCTAAGCAGCAAAATGTTTAAGAGGTGACTCGGGTGCTGTTAAAGGCATTCAGTTTTAAAAGGGAAACGGCATAAAAGTTTGAAAAATTTGCAGCCTGACAATGCAATAGAAAACAGAAATCCCATTTTCTGAGGAGAAATTCAAGCTGGCTACAGAAATTTGCATACGTAATGAGGAGCCAAATGTTAATCCCCAAGACAATGGGAAAATGTCTCCAGGACGAGTCAGAGGTCCTCATGGCAGCCCCTCCCATCACAGACCCAGAGGTCTGAGAGGAAAAAGTGGTTTCATGGGTCTGGCCCAGGATCCCTGAGCTGTGTGCAGCCTAGGGACTTGGTGCCCTGTGTCCCAGCCGCTCCAGCCATGGCTGAAAGGGGCCAACGTAGAGCTCATGCCATGCATCAGGGGGTGCAAGCCCCAATCCTTGGCAGCTTCCATGTGGTGTTGAGCCTGCGGATACACAGAAGTCAAGAATTGGGGTTTGGGAACCTCTGCCTAGATTTCAGAAGATGTGTGGAAACGCCTGGACGCCCAGGCAGATGTTTTCTGCAGGGGTGGGGCTCCCTTGGAGAACCTCTGCTAGGCCAGTGCAAAGGGGAAATGTGGGGTCAGAGCCGCCACACAGAGTCCCTACTGGGGCACTGCCGAGTGGAGCTGTGAGACGAGGGCTGCCATCCTCCAAACCCCAGAACGATAGATCCACCGACAGCTCGCACCATGAGTATGGAAAAGCTGCAGACACTCAACACCAGCCTGTGAAAGCAGCTTGGATGGAGGTTATACTCCACAAAGCCACAGGGACAAAGCCGCCCACAATCATGGAACCCAACTCTTACATCAGTGTGGCCTGGATGTGAGACTTGGTGTCAAAGGAGATAATTTTGGAGCTTTAATATTTGACTGCCCCACTGGATTTCAGACTTACGTGGGGCCTCTAGCCCCTTCATTTTGGCCAATTTCTCCTTTTTGGAACAGCTGTATTTACCCAATACCTGTACCCCCATTGTATCTAGAAAGTAACTAGCTTTTGGTTTTACAGGCTCATAGACAGAAGGGACTTGGCTTGTCTCAGATGAGACTTTGGACTGTGCACTTTTGGGTTAATGCTGACATGAGTTAAGACTTTGGGGGACTGTTTGGAAGGCATGGTTGGTTTTGAAATGTGAGGACATGAGATTTGGAGGGCCATGGGTGGAATGATATGGTTTGGCTCTGTGTCCCCACCCAAATCTCATCTTGAATTGAACTCCCATAATTACCATGTGTTGTGGGAGGGACCTGGTTGGAAATAACTGAATCATGTGGGTAGTTTTCCCCATACTGTACTTGTGGTAGTGAATAAGTCTCATGAGATCTGATGGTTTTATCAGGGGTTTCTTCCTCATTCTGTCTTTGCTTGCTGCCGTTCATGTAAGATGGGACTTGCCCCTCCTTGCCTTCCGCCATGATGGTGAGGCTTTCCCAGGCACATGGAACTGTAAGTCCAATTAAACCTCTTTTTTTTTTTTTTTTTTTTGTAAATTGCCCAGTCTAGGGTATGTCTTTATCAGCAGTGTGAAAATGGACTAATACATTGGTCGACGGGCACTTAGGTTGGTTCCATATCTTTGC